CCGGACCTGGTCCCCACCAGCAGAGGCCACAGTTCGGGAACACTTCACGTCTCCCCTCCATCAGTCTGACCTGGAGTTCTCTCAGGGGGTTTCCCATCAGGGGTCTATCCCATAACACCCCAGGGCGTCACATCGCCATCCTCGCAATGGTAGCCATTCGGTCATTGAGGGTTCCTCCCCTCGACCCCGGCTAGGTCTCCCTCAGGGAAGATTCCCATCCTCGCCCCTGCCCGGGCTCCTCGACCCGGGTCCCTAACAGGGTCCTGGCCGATCTTACCTAGCCTCCTTGCCACACGGCCCCAGTAAGCATCTGCTGGCGTCCCCCGGCAGGGCTGCCTTCTGGACAGCCCCGCCTCCTTCATTAGGCCCTCTTGTTGAGGCATTCCAACCTCCAGGGGGTTCTCCTGTCGGGCATGCCCTCCAGCGGGTCATCAGGGTTCCAGGAGAGGTTCTGTTCCAGACGGGAGCCCGCCCGCAGGACTAGCCAAGCTTTGGTATGTCCCAACCTGGATGCTCGAGACGGCTCTATGGAAAAGGGGCGTTGGTTCTTACCTGATACGCTTCTTTTCGTAGAGCTGTCAAGAGCGTCCAGCCCCACCCATAGGCCGTCTGGTGGGAAACCTTGCTGTTCGACCGAGCGAACTAATATTTTTTTCCTGAGTAAGATGAGAACAGGGCCTTCCTTCTCGTCTTCGCAAAACTGGGGAGCGCCCGGAGGACCACGTGATGGTGAGAGGCGTTCCTCAATCTCAAGCTCAGCCTGTGAGAGCCGAGACTGGAGCTCCTCCCAACCTGGACGCTCTCGACAGCTCTATGAAAAGAAGCGTATCAGGTAAGAACCAACGCCCCGCCCCATCTCATCTGCCAAGAAGAAAAAATTGAGCTAGAAAATGGGTTCCACGAGAAGTTGCAAAGATTGATGGAGAAGCACACCCTGAAAATGGAGCATCTACAGCAAGAGCTACTAAGAGAACATCAGCGAGAGCTCCAGGAACAAAAGCAAAAAACAGAGACCGTACTGAAGGAGAAAATGGCCCTGCAGAAGATAGCTGAAAGCTTGAAGAAGCAGGTATCTGAACTGAAAGCCAGGAATCAGCAATTAGAATTGGAAAATGCTGAACTTGGCCATCGGCTACAACTTTAAAAGCACAACTACAATGACGTGGGAAAATACCCGAACAAAGCTGAATGCCATACATGTAAGTACCCACGAAAACTTAAGAAAACACACACACACACACACACACACACACATATACACTTTAATTTTTCTTATATTTTAGTTGAACTTTAAATATTGTCTTAGCTCAGTTCAATACAGTGGGTTAAAATATTGCTTCTAAAATATGAACTGTGCTACTTCACGTCAAGGGGAGTTTATATGAATTTTTGTTATGAGTGGTAAATAGACAAAACAAAAAAACTGTTAAACAGCAGCCTCCCTTATCTAGGTATCCTCCAAATTCTGTTCCTCTAATCTCAATCCAATGGGATAATAGCTAGGACCATTGGAATGGTAAGATGTATATATGTATATGGAGGACATTCCTGCTTTGGAATGTCTGAAATAGGATTCAAATCTACTAAAGTGAATGATGTAGTCTAAACTATATTTTTAGTCAACTGCTTTTGGGAATATTGCAGATCTTGCTAAATAGAGCCAGAGTTACCTGGTTCAGAACAGTAGATTCTAAAAGATGGCACTAGGGCTTCATTACCTACAAACCTGTAATAAATTGCATAAGTCTCTTAGAGATTTTGCATGGGAATTGTTGATGCAGAGACATAGCTGGATAAATCAAATGATATTAATGGAATATTTAATTCTCAAGGACCTTTTTACCTTGGGTTTTCTGAATTGCTTAGCTGTATTTACAATTTAAAGCAAATGACATGTATTATTGCAATGTAAAATAATCAGTGAAAATCTTGTCTGGAAGCTCTTTTGAGGGACTACATTAGTTACCTAGACGCATACAAATGACGAGTCATTCAAAAAATATCTTATCAAATATATCATGATAGCTCATGCAACATATTTATATTAATTTATGTCATGCAAACATATTTATATTGATTTAGGGTGTGAGCAGAGTGCATGAGTCTTGATTATTTCTACAATTATTTTTTCTAATATTTAAGGTATTGGATCCAAATTTGTATTTATCTATGATTTAGAAGGTCATTTCAGCTGAATGGGGAACCATAGAACCTGGTTAACATCCAAGGCAGTCCTTACTATTGAACAATATAGTAGCAACAATTTCAGCATAAATTTCTTAGGTGACATTTTGGCTTGGTTTGTGCTTATTTATAAATTAATTTTTTCCTATCTCCTTGACAATCTGGATTGAATAATCTCTGATATTTTTTTAAACCTGCCATTTAGAAAAATAGCATCTATTCACACTTTTTAGCAATATGCATGTTATGGTATTTGAAAATGCATTTTCAGTTGATTCTTTTAAATTATATATAGCAGACTTGTAATGCTCATTGGAGCATAGGTTTTTTGAAAAACGTGACTAAAATATTTTTTGTGACTTGTTTCTGTGTTTTAAATATCTCCTTTCATTTGTTTACCCTATTCATCTGACAAATCTTTATAGATGTTTCTTTCTTGTTGAAAACATAAATAGAAATGGCTAGTGAATGGTGACATATTTTATAAAGATTAATATTTTGGCCTTTAAAAAAGCAAAGCAGTGTCAACATCCCAGCTTTGTGAGGCAAACTTTTCAAAAGATATTAGGCATTAAATAGAGTAGTTTTGGGAAAAATAAGATCTGCATTTTGCTTCAGTATGTCTACATTTTTATTCAGCTTAAAAACAGGCGTGTCCAATCTTGGCAACTTTAAAATCTATTGATTTCAATTCCCAGAATTCCTCAAGTAGCCATGATGGCTGAGAAATTCTGGGAGTTGAAGTCCACAAGCCTTAAAGTTGCTAAGGTTGGATACCCCTGACCTAAAGGGACCTGGTTCAATAGAAGGCTGCAGCCAAAATTGTTTTCACCAGTTTATTAGCCTGTAGCTTTACTGGAAGAAATAGGCAGTTCTTTGTCAAGCAATGATGGAATTGCCTGAGAATAACTGCCTGATCTGTTTCTTTTTTAAAAAAAAAATATGTTGCATTCTTGGAGCTTGGTTTAGAGCCCCAAAACTCTAACCTGTGTTTTGAATTGGTGCTTTGAGGGAAGTGGGGTAGAATTTAGCTCTGATCCAAAGTGGCTTGGCAGCTTTTGTAAAGAGCAAGTTCATGTGATGAAGTCCAGTGTCCAAAGTACAAAAGTTCCAAATGGCCCTTTGGAGAGATAGCTAATTGAGATCTGGCCTTCATAGTTCAGGGGTGGATGACTCAGTGGGTATATTTTTATAGATGGTTATTTTTATTTTGATCTCTTGAAGAGAGAATTTTGGGAGTTTTAGGTGGTGGAAAATGTAATAATATAATATCAGAATCATGTTACTGCGTGCCTATATTGAAAAACATTGATTGCCAGTTCTATGAGTACACTGTTATGCCTAATTTAGGCTCAGGTTTTAAATGTATTTTGTCCATTTTCTTTCACATCATTTCCTAATGGTGTGAAAAGCAATTAAGCAATTAATCAACTGCTTTTTGTTGGATATCAGCTTTTGTAAAAGAAAAAGAAAGGATGAGGGAATGAGGAAAATAAATACAGATCTGCAATGCTGCAAAATTGCATCAAAGCACAGCACAGCACAGCAAAAAATAAATGTTTCTGATATGGTTTTTTTCATTATAAATGCCACCTGTTACTTTTATTTTAGGCTTCTAAGAAAGAAGCATTTTTTCCACTAATTACTCTATTTGTGTTTCATTAGTTTTATAATGTTTATGTTTTATTTTAGAAGGTAATTGCTTCTGATTGCCTGTTATTGTTTAATAATTTAATAACTAAATAAGGTAATTAAGCTCAAGATTTTAAATTAATTAGCTGCTCCAATGCTTAATTCAATGTTTCACACAGTGTGGATCTCTCAGCAGTCTGAAAAATCAAAACTGGTTACTAGCCTTTGTTAAAACAGAACATAATATTTTTATGTATTTTATTTATTAAACATATTTGCTGCCCAGCTGTACACAAGGTGACTTTAAAATCCTATCAAGCAAATGTGAGAAATAGTTGTGGCAGCCAATCTATCAATTTTAATTTTTAATATATTTTAAATATTGATAAATGTAATCCATACGAACAAAAACTCTTCTGGGGAGTCCTCCATAATTTTTAAACATGGGAAAAGATCCTGAGAGAAATAAATTTAAGAAACACTGGCTTAATAATGCAGGCAACACCTCAATGCACGTATGTTGGCATTAGGACTAAATAAATCTTTTGAAGGAACTTCTTGACAATATGGGGGAAACACATTAAAAAAATCTCTTTTTTATGGTTAAAGCAGAAATTTTGCAAACTTTCTATGCTTTCAGACTGTCATTGCATTGCAGGTAGTTCTTGACTTGCAGCCATAATTGAGCCCCAAATTTCTGTTGTTGAATGAGATTGTTGTTATGTGAATTTTGCGCCATTTTATGACCTTTTCCCTGCTTTTATTAACTGAATCACTGAAATTAAGTAACTAACACACCTATTAAGTGAATTTTGCTTGTCAGAAGGTGGAAAAGATAATCCCATGATTATCTTGTCCTGCAGCCATCATAAGTATGAATCAGTTGCCAAGTGTCTGAATTTTGATCACGTGACCATGGAGATGTTTGCAATGCATGTAAGTGTGAAAAAGGATCATGAGTCATTTTTTTCCAGTGCCAGTGTAACTTCAAACAGTCAACCAAATCAACTGTTGTAAATCAAGGACTACCTGTCCTTGTGATTGCACAACCTTTTTTCATGAACAAGCAGTCTCGTCCTCCAGTATGCTTGAATATTATTAGCTATTTGTGGATCAACAATGTTTGTCAGGATACAATGATTTCCTACTTCACTGACCTATAATTACTTTTGATTGTTTTTTAGTGTTGGATTCCTTGTTCACATCCTCGCTGACAACATATCGCCATGAATAAGCAACTTTTTATAGTTGCTGGTATTCTGGTACATTGTGTGTTCCTGATCTCTATCTTTGACATTTATTTCACCTCTCCTCTGGTCCATGGAATGACTCCTCATCAAATTCTGCTGCCGCCACCTGCACAACGCTTAGTACTGTTTGTTGCGGATGGGCTACGTGCAGATTCACTATATGCGTTGGACGGTAGTGGCAATTCTAATGCACCTTTCCTTAGGTAACTTTGTTTTTCTTCCCATATTTGTTATAAGTACTGCTTGCTAAATGAAAGAAGTTATTATTCAAGTCTAGGTGTTGAAATTAGATCATTTAGTTCTTATCTTTAAGGGAGGTAAACCCCAAGTACTTAACTATGACATTTTGTCAACTGTTCTAATTATGAGCAATTACATAATGACTGTCTTCCGAATCCAGCCTTGGGTTTGCATATTTTCCTGTCTCCCTCTCTAGCATGTCATGAATGTGTATGTTACTCAGTTTGTATTAAAAAACTCAGCAGTGGATAACCTTACTTAATTTAAACCATGCTTTGCAACTGAGGTAAGAAAAAAACCCTTCACCTTTTGAAAGTGGCATTTTCAAGGCTTAGTTCATATGTAATGCTAAGCTATAAGGTAGCACATTTACTCTTGTCTTAATATGCTCTAATATCTATCCAGCATACAATATAGATCAGGGCTGTTAAACTCCCCAGGAGTCATGTGTCATGTGCTGGCCACGCCCATGCCCATTTTAGCAAAGGGGGAAAAAGTCCAGATACGTCTCATGATGCTGCCTTGACGATATGAGTTTGACACCCCTGGTTTAGATAGTCCTCGATTTACAGCTGCAGTTGAGCCCCAAATTTCTTTCTGTTAAGTGAGTTTTGCTCCATTTTATGACCTTTCTTGCCTCAGTTGTTAAGTGAATCACTGCAGTTGATAAGTTAGTAACCTCTGATTGTTAAGTGAATCTTTCTTCCCCATTGGCTTTGCTTGTTAGAAGGTTGCAAAAGGTGATCACATGACCTTGGGACACAGTATAAGTATGAGAGTTGCCAAGCATCTGTATTTTGATCACATGGGGATGCTGCAAAGTTTGTAAGTGTGAAAAATGGTCATAAGTCACTTTTTTCAGTGACCTTGTAACTTTGAAAGGTCACTAAATGAACTGTTTTAAGTCTAGGATTACTCTAATTGTAGATTATTTGTTTTAAATGTAATGGCATGCTGCATTTAATTTAAAAATGGAAGTGCCATTCTGAAGGAGCAGAGACAGAGTATCTGGTTCAGAAGATTATTCTTACAACTTTGTTAAGGCAAATTAATGTCCTCCAGATGTATTGGAGTTCAACTGCTGTCTGCTTAAACCAGCTGCATTGATTCGTTGAATCTGTAGCCTCAAATATCTAGAATACATCAGGTTTTCTATGTCTGACTTTTTTGAGCATAGTTTAAAGCAGGGATAGACAACCTGATGTGTTCTAGATATTTGAGCCTACAGATTCAATGAATCAATGCAGAACTATTTCAGCCGTATAAGTTCTTTCCACTTTTTAAACCATTTCTTTTTCATGGGTTCATAGTAATGAAGATATAATCAGGGTTGGAGGTCATAAATGGAATAAAAAAACCACAATACCAAAATCCCTACAAGTGACTGCTAAACAAGCTAATGAAATAGTACAGTAAGATTACTATCAAAGATTTCTGCTTTCGTGTGTTGAACCTAACGTTTGAACATTTTATACATTTTTAACTCACTGCTTCTATTAAAACAGTCTCTCTGAAACTTGGCAACTTTAAGATGTGGATTTTAACTCCCAGAATTCCCTAGCCAGCATGGCTGGCTGAGGAATTTTGGGAATTGAAGTCCATGCATTTTAAAGTTGCCAAGTTTCAGAAAAACTACTAGATTAAGCTATGCATGTCATGTAAAAGTGCTTTAATATTATGCTTGAATTGAATTACTAGCTTTCGTGTCTAACTTAAATATGAGCATTCTTGTTTTTACAAGCTGAGTCCCTGATATCGTTCCCTTTTTTTCATGGCATCCTAAAGTAGATCCAGTACTTGAAATGTAAGTGAACTATGCCATCAGCCTTTTAATTTAGAATCAATCTTTCTTTCAGGAATATCATAGCTTCAAAAGGCAGTTGGGGAGTATCTCATACTCGTGTTCCAACAGAATCTAGACCTGGGCATGTTGCTCTAATAGCTGGATTTTATGAAGATGTCAGTGCTGTTGCCAGAGGTATGAAACATCCAATTTATTTCAACAAAAAAGAAAGGACTTTCTATATCTTTTGCAGCTCCTTTTCCTATATAATGAACATGGGAGCTGCTGTGTGTAAATTAGATTGTCAATTTGTGGTAATTTTCTCTGTGTCCTATAGCTATTTTATTATTCTAGAAGACCTCTTATATAAAGAGAAATGAGATGGCTGGGTTAAGTTGTAGTTTGATTAGTTATGCTTTATTGAATTACTGTAATCATAACTGGGTAAGCTCATGCTTCATCATAAACCATAATGTGGTTTATTTCGTTTTAGTATATTAAAGAACTCAGTCTATGTCTTTGAAATCCACCTATTTTAAATTTTTGTAAATGGGAAGGAAGCTACTACTTTATAGAATTATGGCAGTATGTCAGTTTTCCATTATGAGAACACAACTTAAATGCAGTCAGGTATTATGAGTTTGAGACTAGTGTTCAACTTTTATTACTGTATCTAAATGATATTTGCAGTACAATTCTGTGTTATGATTACTGAGAAATAAATTATTAGTTTTAGTGGGGTCTGTTCTCAGATAAATATGAACAGAACTCGTCCTAACTCATTCTCATTCTCTCTCCGTATACATGTATGAATTGATATATACCTCTGTGTGTGTGTTTGGAAAGAAGGATTAGTTTTTATTTTCTCATCTTTGGCTCAAGGGTACATAATGTATTGCTGATTTATTACATTATAGTATATGATAACGTATTTTTAGCTCAGGGAAGTAAATAGAGTTTGAAACAATAGCTTGTTGGCTTCTTGCTTACAGTTATGCTTTAGTATGATGTGTGAATGAAGACCTATAGAATAAAGTAAAATAACTATCATTTGCTTCTGGTTTCTGTGATTCCTGGCTCATTTTTTTATGCCGATTTTAGACCTTAAACAAATTCCTGGAAATGCAAGAAGACATTTGAGGAAACAAATGGAAAACAAATAAAGATTACTCAGAAGAATCCAGTATTGTTTTATTTGTTTGAATTAATGAATAAGCCATAATTAAAACAAGCTACAACTTTACGTAATACTATATATGCATAAGACCTTTCTTTGAAATTTCCAATATCACTGAGGTTTTTCAGATAGATTCTTCAGGCAATTTTTAGTGAACATTGGCATAAAAATAGATTGAAAATCTATTATTTCTGTGTCAGGAATTTTGAAATATTTTCACATTTTCTATACAAAAGTTACAATTTTCCCATGTTAAAAATAAGTATGTACTTGCTAATTAAATGCAATGTTATGGATTCACTTTCCCCAAATGAATATAATACCTTTATAGCTTTTAACAACTGGCACCAAATCTTACTTTTCCCTCTTTAAAAAAAAAGCAAATAACTTTGACAGTGCATTTTTTTGAGTTACAGGATGGAAAGAAAATCCAGTGGAATTTGATTCTATTTTCAATGAAAGTAAATATACTTGGAGCTGGGGAAGTCCAGATATTCTTCCTATGTTTGCTAAAGGTAAGCTTATGTTAGCGTTATTGATTCTTCATTTATAGAATAGTAAAGATTTATAATTAATTGCAATAACCAATAATTGAATGTTCATTTCCCAGAAAAACCCTTTGTAGCACTTACAAAGTTTGATCATTCTTAATTAATGACAACATGCACCTCTGTGCTAAATGTTCTGCTGATGAACTGTAATTGCAGATACTGTTTTGGGATTTTCAATGAATTTATTCTTCTGACTATTTTAGTCCATGTGTGTTTTTAAAACACTGCCTAAATCAGATGAGTCACATGCTGGGCATGCCCACCCCTTGTTTAGCGAAGGTGAAAAAAGTTGTAATGACAATGTGACGCCACGTGTTTGACATCCCTGGCCTAGATAATTGGCAGATTTATTTTCTTCAAAAAGTCAACAAGTTTTTACAATACATGCAGTACTGTGTAAGTCTTGGGCTGCCATGAAATTTGTTGTTGTATCAATGGTATAATGACCATATAATATAATGCTTTGTTTGATAAAGTGTTTGTTACAAGCCCAAGACTCCTCTTGCTAGCTTCCCATCATTTTGGTAGTTGTTTACATATCATCTGGAAGGAAAAATTATTTTTAACTAAATTATCCATCTAAGTATATACGCACTTTCTAAAAGTTGGTGTGAAATAACTCTAGGTACTTTAAGGTACATTTAAGTGAAGATAAAATATGTTTTGAAAAGACTTAGGGAAACTGAGTTAAAAATATAGCTATCCTTTTCTTCAGCTGGAATGTTTGGTTGCAGGTGCTACTGGTGATCACGTTTACACCAACTGCTATAAAGCTGAAAGAGAAGATTTTGCAGCTGAAGATGCCACTATACTGGACACTTGGGTTTTTGACCAGGTTAAGGTGAATAAAAATCTTTGTTTTGCATCCCTCTTATATGACTGGCAGAGCATAATTTACAAATTTGTGCTATCTCCTTTATTCCCTGTTGTTTCTGATTTTTTTTTTTAAACTGGTACATTTTAAATAAAGTGGGTTTTTAGGTAGTCTTCAGCTATCTATTATAGGGCAATTTTATGTTGGATTTTCTTGTCATTTGCTCAAAGGTTTGTAGTATAATGTGTCCATATTTCCATTTGAAGAAAGAATTAGAGGTTTCTGTGTACAGAATACAACTAGAATTGATGTCTTTAAATTATGAATATTCTTACCTTCTGCTTCCTAAGTACTCCTTCAGTATTTTTACTTAGGATTTATTTTTGTTATAAAAGTCAGTGGGAAAAGAATCTGAGGAAAAATGTGAAGATGAGAATCAATGTTAGATACTCCCATTTGTCTAAAAGGCATTTCAAGGGTGTGTAAGTCATTTAGATTTAAGTTACCTTTTTGAACATATTTTCTGTAGAAATGAATATAAGGACCACATTCTATAGAGGAATTTATCTAAATGTCTTCCTTCCAGGTTCTTCTGCGTGATAATTGCTGACACAATAGCAAGTTCTAACTTTCTGGTTAGAACTGTTTCTGGTGCTCAGAGTAATTTACTTGGTTTTCTGATCTAGGATTTCTTCAACTCGGCTAAAAACAATGAAACATTGTTTTCTAAACTTCATGAACAAAAAATCATTTTCTTCCTGCACTTATTAGGATTAGATACAAATGGTCATGCTCATCGGCCTCATTCAAGGTAAAAATGTATGATTTATATTTTTTAAATATACAAGTGAAACTCAAAAAATTAGAATATCATGCAAAAATTCATTTATTTCAGTAATGCAACTTAAAATGTGACTTTATGAGATAGACTCATTACATGCAAAGCAAGATAGTTCAAGCCATGATGTGTTATAATTGAGATGATTATGGCTTACAGCTCATGAAAAGCCCAAATCCACAATCTCAGAAAATTAGAATATTGTGAAAAGATTCAATATTCTAGGCTCAAAGTGTCTCACTCTAATCAGCTAATTAAGCCATAACACCTGCAAAGGGTTCCTGAGCCTTTAAATGGTCTATCAGTCTGGTTCAGTAGGAATCACAATAATGGGAAAGACTGCTGACTTAACAGAAAACCATCATTGACACCCTCCATAAGGAGGGAAGGCCTCAAAAGGTAATTGCAAAAGAAGTTGGATGTTCCCAAAATGCTGTATCAAAACACATTAATAGAAAGTTATGTGGAAGGGAAAAGTGTGGAAGAAAAAGGTGCACAAGCAGCAGGGATGACCGTAGCCTGGAGAGGATTGTCAGGAAAAGGCCATTCAAAAGTGTTGGGGACTTTCACAAGGAGTGGACTGAGGCTGGAGTCAGTGCATCAAGAGCCACCACACTCAGACAGATCCTGGACATGGGCTTCAAATGTCGTATTCCTCTTGTCAAGCCGCTCCTGAACAACAAACAATGTCAGAAGCGTCTTACCCGGGCTAAAGAAAAACAGACCTGGTCTGTTGCTCAGTGGTCCAAAGTCCTCTTTTCTGATGAGAGCAACTTTTGAATCTCATTTGGAAACCAAGGACCCAGAGTCTGGAGGAAGAATGGAGAGGCACACACTGCAAGATGCTTGAAGTCCAGTGTGAAGTTTCCATAGTCTGTGTTGATTTGGGGAGCCATGTCATCTGCTGGTGTTGGTCCACTGTGCTTCATTAAGTCCAGGCTCAATGCAGCCGTCTACCAGGAGATTTTGGAGCACTTCATGCTTCCTTCCGCAGACGAGCTTTATGGGGATGCTGACTTCATTTTCCAGCAGGACTTGGCACCTACCTACACTGCCAAAAGCACCAAAACCTGGTTCACTGACCGTGGAATTACTGTGCTTAATTGGCCAGCAAACTCGCCTGACCCGAGCCCCACGCTGCATTGAGGCAGTAATTGCTGCAAAAGAGGCCCAAACCAAGTACTGAATACATATGCATGCTTAAACTTTTCAGAGGTCCGATATTGTTCTATGTACAATCCTTGTTTTATTGATTGCATGTAATATTCTAATTTTCTGAGATTGTGGATTTGGGGTTTTCATGAGCGGTAATCCATCATCATCACAATTATGACAAATCACGGCTTGAACTATCTTGCTTTGCATGTAATGAGTCTATCTCATGTATTAGTTTCACCTTTTAAGGTGTATTACTGAAATAAATGAACTTTTGCACAATATTCTAATTTTTCAAGTTTTACCTGTAATATAAGTACAACAAAAGCTATACAATTTTAAATACCTTTAATTTATATTATCCAGTGATTCAGTGGATTCAAGACTTGATGTTACTTCCAACTTACGATCAAATTATTTATAGATATAGGTTACAGTATATATAAATGATTATGAATTATGCAAATCCTTTATTGAAAGTGCTTTGTAAAATTTGTATAAACATGTATGAGAAGTCTTTATAAGTCTCTTTGGTGTTTGGCTTTCTTTTTTCTTTTCCTTTTATTGTTCTTTCTTTTTCCTATTCTGTTTACTAAATAAAGGCATTTTTGCAGAGTACACTTGATATGTGAGAGAATTAGCAATGTGCCTAAATCCTCCATTGAAATTAATAGGATAAAAAGTATGTAACTATATTTGAACAATTTCTTTTGTGTGGTTTAATTTTCAGTTTTATTTTAACTGGGTTAATTTTGTTATAATGATTATATCTATATCAAGTGAGAGATGAATTTATGACTCTGGAAAAAATGGGTTAACTCATTTATGTAAAATCTGTAGGTTAGACAGTTTGCTAACACCTTGTACCATAATCTTTCCAAACTTTGTGGTAAAGCTTTAAGCTTTTTAATAATTCTCAAATTAAGAAGCTTGATGTGTTAGACAAGTGAGGGATTACAAATATCTTCTGACACAGCATGAAAGAGAATGGGGCAAAGTTGCTATTGAGGAAAAGACCAGTTTGATAAGCATGGCTCCTTCTGCATTAATAATAAATGTTACTTTTTTATATGCTTGATGGAAGGACTGGAACATTCTATATTTATAAGAAGTGTTAATGTCTTGTACTAAAATAATAATGTAATAGTAACTCCTTAAAGACAGAACAAAGTGAAAAAAAAGAAAAATGTTTAAACTGGACTATATAGACAGCTGGAATGTTTTCCCACAGAAGTTATTCCTTAATCACCAAGTTCTGCCATGGCAATTCCCATGAAGTGGAATCAACATGTTTGAATTGGAAGGCCATATAATTTATTTAATAATAAATAAATAAAGCAAGCAAGTTATGGCATGTAAGTTTGATGTTTTCTTTCTTTCTTTCTTCATTTTCTTTCTTTCTTTTTTTGAGAATTTGAAGTCTCAAAGGATATTTTGGGAAATGTAACAGGTTAACACCATTACAATCTGAATGTGCGGGTGAAAAAATGACAACTTATAATAAAAAAATATTTCAAACAGACTTTCATCCAAATAAACTATTGCATTTTGATTCTTTTGATCATTTTGGAATGTCATGTTTGAAAATTAAATGCTTGGAGTGCTTTACATTCAGTTGTCTAATGTGATGTGCAAAGAAAGGAATAATGTAAAAAATAAACTAGACAGAAAACATTTAATGCTTTTATTATTATTCATTGGTCCTATTTTTAAATCTTGTGCAAATGTACTTCTAGATTCACAATTACAATCTTTTGCTTTTTCTGTAGGGAATATAAGAACAATATCAGGAAAGTTGATGAAGGTATACAAGAAATTGTTTCAGTGGTTGAGGGCTTCTATGGAAATGATGGCAACACGGCCTTTATCTTAACTTCTGACCATGGAATGACAGACTGGGGTGAGATTTTATTTCAGAACACTATAAAGGTTCAGCTCAGAAAATCTTTGTCCATTGTGGTATTCCATGTTTTGCTTTCTTTATTCATCACACAAGCCAGTATTTTCTTTACATAAGATTATTTATATTTTGGAATTTAAATATTTAGAAATGTGCTATATTTATATTCACAGCACTATTGTCATTTAGAAACAAAGAGAATAGATATTACAGATGCAGAGTAATACAGGTAGTCCTCAACTTATGACCACAACTGAGCCCCAAATTTCCATTGCTAAGTTAGACAGCTGTTAAGTGTGTTTTGCTCCATTTTATGACCTTTCTTGTCACTGTTGTTAAGTAAATTACTACAGTTGCTAGGTTAGTAACATGGTTGTGAAGTGAATCTGGCATCCCCATTGACTTTGCTTGTCAGAAGGTCGCAAAAGGGGATCACATGAACTTGGAACAATGCAATGGTCATTAATATATTCCAGTTGCCAAGGGTCCAAATTTTGATCATGTGATCATGGAGATGCTACAAAGGCTGTAAGCGTGAAAAATGGTCAGAAGTCACTTTTTTCATTGCTGTTGTATCTCCAAACAATCACTAAATAAATGGCTATAAGCCAAGGGCCGCTTGTCTAAATATAGCCTAGCATGACTACATTCTCAACTGAATCAGTCTTATCTTAGAAGCAGCCTAGTATTGGAGATACATCTGAAGCAATCCTTTTATAACTGTTCCATCCAATGTTAAACTTGGAAAAAATTATTAAAGGAGTCTTTAGGGCAGTGGTGGCTAACCATTTTGGGCTCCTGTGCCAAAAATGGTGTGTGTGCTTGCACATTCACACTTGTGTGCCAGCACCCAGAAGGAAATGCGTGCCCCCCCAAACCCTATGCATGTGCATGCAATCCCCACCTACCCACCCCCACCACCCCCTTACATGCACTGCACCTCACAGCTGATTTTCAGCTGGTTTGAGGCCTTTTTCGGCCTCCCAGAGGCTTGAGGAAGGCTTTTGCAGGCTTCTGCAGGCTTTGCAGGCCGAAAACTAGCCCCATTTCATCACTTGCAGTATTTTTGGAAAAGCAGGAAGTGATGAAATGGGTCTAGTTTTCGGCCTGCAAAGCCTGCAGAAGCCTTCCTCAAGCCTTTGGGAGGTCAAAAAAGGCTTCAAACCAGGCAAAAATCAGCTGTGAGGTGCGAGCATGCACAGTAAGGTAAATTTGCCTGCAGCTCGCATGCTGGCACAAATGGCTCTGCGTGCCATTTGTGGCACGTGTGCCATAGGTTCGCCATCATGGCCTCAGGGTATCTCAAGATTTACAATAGACAAAGCATATACATTATCTGCAGATTTGGTCTTTGGTATATATTCATATCAAACCATTAGTTCATTTAAAAGGCAAAAGTGAATCAGTGATCAATTGGGTGTTCTGAAGCTTATTGTGGGGAGTGAAAGAGAGAGAGGTATGATAAGAAGGGAAAAGTCATTGTCAGGGAAAAGAGGAAAGTTATTTTATTCTTAAATAGCCACATCCTTCCTGAATCATGGGCATATTATGAGGTCCCAATCAGTGGTGGGTTTCAAAAAAATTTCCTACCAGTTCGGAGAGTTCACTTCATGCACGCATGCGCAGGCTTCAAACACAGCCCTCTATCTTAACACTGGTGAGCTGTGCTGTTTTTTTAGCTCAGCTGAAGCGCGGCAATTTGCTCTGCAATGTGAATCAGCTGAGCTAATAAACAACAGAATATAGGAGAGGGTAAGAGTAGGGGTGGGTGGGCTGGGCCAGCCAGAGGTGGTATTTGCTGATTCTTTGAACCAGTCAAAATTTTTGCTACTGGTCAGAGCCGGCTGAATACCACCTCTGGCCTCAATAGATTACTTTGTTAGGAATACAGATTGCCCATCACTGAATTTAGAGATATTTCAGTAATAACACCTAAGATGTTCCGATTGAAAGTGAAAAAAGCTCAGTGTAGATGTGACTAAGCTACAAATAATAAATGAAAGCAAATTGAGCTGGAATTAGGAACAAAAGAACCAAAGCTTAGACTTTAGTTGGTGGTTTACAAGAAGAAGAGAAACATCAAGATCATATAGGATGGGTTGACTAATGTGTAGCCAGGTCCCTACTACCTAAGTAATCATGCTTAATGATGAGAAATGCAGGAGCAAAATATAAAGGGATTTCAGAATGATGTTCAAGCTAAGAAATGGGAAGAGAAAAGTGGCAGACTCATTTTAAGCAAATGAGAGATCTTGAGTTATTAAAAATGATTAAAAAATTGGAGTGACAATTAAGCCTGATGAAATTAATGAGCAAACAGTTTGTTATACCGTGTTTCTCCAACAATATGGTCTCCCCCAATAGGAAGTCCCAGCATGTTTTATAGGCATAAAATGAAATTAAGCCCCTCCCCCCAAATTAAGGCCTATATTAAACATGCAAAATGGGGAGGATGGCGGGGGGGCTTGCCATTATGAAGTACTTTTGTTGCATACCAGGATATGGTGCTGCCTGCGTTGACCTCGACGTTAGTGGGGCACTTCATATTGGGAGAGCTACGCCGTGGCATTTGGCGCAGCCACGCAGTGTTTGGTGCAGCCACGCACGGCCAGTCAGGGCTCCACCCTGCAACCGGAGCCCGGTGGAGACACTCGGCTTCAGGCGCTCCTGTTGCCGCCTTCCCAGGCATCGTTTGAAGGCAAAGCCCATTCTTTTAAAAATGATTCCGTACTACCCCTACGACAAAGCCTCCCCTGCCCAAGAGGGCAGCCCAACCCCACGTGGGGAGGCGAATCTCCCGGGGCCACAGCTCAGGATCGGCCAACCTGGGGAGAAGCGCCCAGCCGCCATCCCTGCCTGGTGCCGGGCAGAGTGCCAAGAGTTTCGCCTGGGGCGCCCAGCGCCTCTCCGCTGGGCCATCCGCTCATCCTGCCAGGGCTGCACCGAAGCCAGGAGGGCTGGGTAGCCAGGAAAGCGAGCCGCAGGTGCACACCCGCCTGCCAAGAGAAAGAGACGGGCCGACCCGAGCTTGGCTTCCCAAGTCCCTCCAGCCTGACCCCAAAGGGGCCACTGGGAGAGGCTGCCTGAGGCAGTGATAGCACCCACCCATCCATCCATGGACAAGGAGGCAAGGCGACGGCAGCGCTGCTTCCCTGGTCGGCGGGTCCGGCGGAGAGATCCTGAAGCTGCCCATCCTTTCCACCCCTAGCCCAGCCCGTCCCCATCCCCATGCATCTCCAAAAGAGCCAGCAGCTCTAAATGCTGCAGTGGCATGGACATCAGGCAGAGGCACTCACTCGGTGGGGCTCAGCTCGGAGGAGGATGTGGTGCAGGCTATCGCCTTGCCTCCCTGTCCACGGATGGGTGGGCGCTATCACTGCCTTGGGTGACCTCTCCTGGTGGCCCCTTTGGGGTCAGGCTGGAGGGACCTGGGGAGGAAGGCAAGCTCGGGGCAGCCTGGCTCTTTAGCTTGGCAGGTGGGCGCGCACCCGCAGCTTGCTTTCCCAGCTCTGCCCAGCCCACCCAGCTCCGGCGCAGCCCTGGGGGGGGTGAGCGGAGGGCTTGGGGAGGCGCTCGCTGCCTTGTCCAGAGCTCCGCCGCTGGGTAGGAGGGCCTGCCTGTCAGCTGCACTGGGCAACCCAGGCGAAGATCTTTGCACTCTGCCCAGCGCCAGGCAGGGATGGCGGCTGGGTGCTTCTCCCGGGGTGGGCCGACCCTGCACTACGGCCCCGGGAGATTTGCCTCCCCACGTGCAGTTTGGCTGCCCTCTTCGGCAGGGGAGGTTTTGTCGTACCAGTAGTAGGATGATATTTTTAAAAGAATGGGCTTTGCCTTCGAACGATGCCCGGGAAGGCAGTGACAGGAGTGCCTGAAGCCGAGTATCTCCACCAGGCTCTGGTTGCAAGGAGGAGCCCTGGTTGGCCCTGCGTGGCTGTGCCAAATGCCGCGTGGCTGCGCCAAATGCCGCGGCGTTGCTCCAAACGCCACAGCAGCACAGGGAGAAGGGAAAGCAACGGTGGCGGAAGGTCTCCCGATATGGAGTGCCCCACCAATGCTGAGGTCAACATCCAAGCCGTCGCTGCCTGCCCGCCCGAGTATGCAGGGGGTGGAATTAAGTCACCCCGAAAAGACAGCCTAGCCGTTTTTTCAGGGCTCAAAAAAAAAATAAGGCCCGGCCTTATTTTGTGAGAAATACGGTAGAAGAGTTGACAAAACTTTTACTATTATGTAAAGAAATGAAGTGCCTGAGGCATCTGTAGGAATTTGAGTAAACCTTAGTTTTAGGTTGTTGGTTGGTAGTAGTAGATACAGAGAAATGCTATATGAATATATAATTGAAAATCCAGATTGGGGCAATCCTTCAGAAGCCTAAAGGCAGTTGTAGGTAAACTGTGAAGCAAAAGGGAAAGTTGCATGAAGAAATAATTTGAATGGTATTGAAGCTGCAGACTGCCCTCTAGATGAGCAGAGTAGGGAAATGGTATTCAAAAGCCAGCTTTAAAAAAAATAATAATAACAATAATATAACGTTGGCTTATTTTCTGTATGTGTTTAGGGACTCATGGAGCAAGTCATCCATCAGAAACATTAACACCCCTAATTGCTTGGGGAGCAGGAATCAAATATCCTCAGATGGTTACCTCACAGCCATATGAAGACACATTTTTAAAAGGTAATTATTTGTGCAATTATTGTGCAATTATTTGTGTAATACCTTTTTTATACAGACAAAAGGACAGTTTTTAGTGTTATTAGCTGCTGCTGCTGTTACATTGATAAAATCCTCATTAAATGAATGGGGAGTAAACTTTTACTAGAAACCATTATATTTAGGTGGATTCTCACAATGCTCAATAACATTTGAGCCACTGTTTTTCATATTCATAATGCAAATCCTCCTTTGCAGAAAATAAATTTTACTTGAAACTTTTGATTTGTGGGCCTGATTTTATGAGCCGGATGTAGTTTTAAACAGGGCTAGTTTGGTCCCTTGTCATCTTTAATCAAACTTAATTAAATAGATTAATGCATTTAAATTAATTGTAAATTAGCAGATTTTCAGATGACTTTAATTTTTCTTCATGATACCTGAAATCATCAGCATTCTTCTTGTTTGCCCAGGTGTCCTGCTTCCCACATTTAATCTTCACTTTGCTCATACTGTTTAACATCATACTCTCTGTGAGTATGAATCATTCTTGTGTCCAAGGTTGATTTTCCTATATTGGAAATGTGAGGGATAATTAAGTTTAAAATTAACTGTGTAGTGTAATAATCCAAGATAAAAATAGGCATATCTTCCACCCCTTAAAAGAACACATTAAATGAAGTGCTAAGATGAACCTAACATTAACCAAATGTAAGAAATTACTCATGGATGCTGAACACATTAACAGAACTGGTCATCTCATGTCCAACCAAGTATTCAGGTCATCTTTGTAATGCTGTTAGTGTTTTTGGGACTAATAAAATAATAAAAATGAACATAACAAGCATATAGTTCTAATAGAATTTTATCTACTATTTCTGGGGTGGGGAAAAAGTAATCTTTGCTAGAAAGACTATTGGCTGTTTAATTAACTAATAATCTGGATTTGGACAATGAGCCACAGAACTATGGCCAGATTGGTTAAAGAAAAATGCATGATTTTAGAATGTGCTGCAGCTCTCTGCCTTAACTGTTTCTGGATCATTTTCTGGTTTACTGTATTTTATTTAGTAAATTTATGTGGCTGCCCATCTCACTTGAAGTAGATTACCTATACATAAAGCTGACCCTAATCAGTGATTTATCAACATATAGCTGTCCATCCAAGAGAAGGTCTTGGATATTCTGATGTGTAGCTTTTCCTTTGTGATTCTTCAGATTCAGATTAAAGTGATTTGTGTACCCGTGAGTAAATTTCTTAATACTATATTCTGCCACTTGAGCACAAATATATTTTAATATAAAGAAAAGCTATCAGAAGGATAAGCTTATAACTGCTAAGTATCAAAAGAGTTATCTTTTCCCCTCATAAATTATCATTCTTTTTTCCTCACTTACAGAATGGAAGCTGGAGATGTGGAAACGCCAAGATGTGAATCAGGTATCTGGTTGCTTCAAACCCACTGTTTTTTTAACTTACTTTATTTTAAGATGGTACAAAGAAACATAATTATGATAATAAGTTATATTAATGGGCAGGCCCCTCTGCCTCCAGTTTTTGTCAGTCAGTCAGTCAATCTCTGTCTGTCTGTCTGTCTGTCTGTCTGTCTGTCTGTCTGTCTGTCTATCTATCTATCTATCTATCTATCTATCTATCTATCTATCTATCT